TAGGAGAGCCTCAAAGACAACATAAAAGGATAGGTCCATTAAATATCTATATCTATATACTGGAGAAAATATAGTAAACATCACTACTTAAGTATAGGATTGAGATGAATAAATGTATTCGTTTATATGGAGGGTGGTGGTTTTTACAAATGCTTTTGCATTAAAGGCTTGATCATAATAAAAGTTCTCAATTACAATAAAAAAATTAAATGCCTACATGATATTTTCTTTATTGCAGTAGTTAAAATATTGAAAGCTTAGAATCAATCAACTAATATATACTGTCACAAGAAAAGCATACTGAACAAGGTTTTTGGAGGGTACAACAAAGCCCATTGCCAATGGACTCCAAAAGCCGATAGATTTGGTGGGTTTATCTGAGGATATTATCTATATGATAATCCACAGAAAGGGTTCAGATACTTTTTGCAGATAGAAACAAGTATTCCTAACAATGAATGGCCTTAGATTTCTATGCATAACAAAAGTGACAATGATTCTAAGTTCTTTAAAGATAGAACCTTGTTTTTTCCCCATGTGCCCCTAGTTCAGTCTACAGCTTAGAGTGGGTGCTTAAAGAAATTTTGTTGACTGACAAACATAAAATGCTATTTTCTCTTTTTCCTTGGCCCCCTATCAATGTGTTCTCTACACTGTAGCCAGAGGGACATTTTGAAATATAAATTTGATAATGGCACCCTCCTCCCCACCTTCCACTAACTCCTTCCATTATTTTTCCATCACTTTTACCATAAATATTCAAATACTTGATATGATCTAGAAGGCCCTGAAAGATCTAGCCCCCTTCCTATCTATAAAAAGTCCATCCTCAAAGGCATTCTCTCAGTTGTTTGAATATGCCACCCCACCTGCTATAGCAGGCTTTTGTACCTAGTATTATTACTCTGCATTTACCTGTTAAGTCTTTCTCATCTCTTATATTTTAAACATCAATCTTCAAGGAAACCTTCTTTGATAGGTTAGTTTACACTATTTTAATCTCTCACAGTATCACGTACCTGTCCTCCAAAATACATACTACCAGTTTAAGTCTCCATTTACTTTTTTTATTTTTTTTAAATAACAGTGTCTACTCACTGGAATGCAAAGTCTAGGAAGGTAGGAGCTATTTCTGAGAGTTCATTCACCGTATTATTCCCTGAGCTTGCTACTCAGGCACATACAAAGCATTCAATCAATATTTGTTGAATAAAGAAATGGATGTAGAAATGACTAAGTGAGTATGTTTGTCTATCTGGTCACATTAGTAAAGTCCTAGAAAGAAGGGACTTTATTAAATTAAATGACATCGATCACACTGCCATGTTTAGTCATTTGTAGGAAATAACTAGCATAAGGTGTATGTGTTCATGACTACTTAAATAGGGAAGTAAATAAAAGTGACATGAAGGGTCTAGTATGAAATTTTAATATAAACGACCCTAAAATGCATGAAACCTGAAAATTATAAAAAAGTATAACTTCACTTCTCCTTGATGAGCCTTTTATTCCCCTTTTTTGAGCTGGATAGCCATGGAATTCACTAATTCTTTTAAGCTGCTAAGAAACTATTAGTCCTTTTAAATAGGAACTTATTAAATAATAATGGTCCTGGGGCACTTTAGATCAGTATGGTTCACGGAAAAAGCTATGTACCCCATAAGCATCCATCATTCAGGAAAGATGACATTCTTGGATAGATGAGTTCGGAGGTTGACTTTCAGAGTGAAAGAATGTAAGTGATGCATAAGTTAGTTCTGTTCTATCAGCCATATATTTCTACATATATTTTTTCTCTTGTGTAATGCCTGAATCTAAAAAAAAAATCAATCCTAGTAAAATGGAAATCTTATTCAGCAGAGAAGAGAATATAGAGCTCTAGATTAAGGGTGCCTGCACTCATAAGCAGGCTCTGTCACTGTCCTGGTCATGACACATAATCTTTCTTGTGTTCTCCTTCCACTGCTATATAAATAAATATATAAAACTTGCTAGGTCTGAATAAAGTAGAGTCAGTCAGGATGAAACAGAGCTCATTAAATAAAAAATATTCTAGAAAACCATAGATACAGAAGTTATGGGAAAATATTCTGGGCCAGAAAAAAAGAAAAAAAAAAAGGATAGAAAGAATATTAGCATTGTCTTTTTAGTAGTTCTTATTGTACTTTTAATATGAAGACAACCAAATGATACTAAATATTAAGTTAATAGAGAAATTTAGTTAGAACTAGATGTAATTGCAATCTTATTTAATGTTGGCTGTTAATTTTTCTCCTAAATTTTCTATAATGAATGTGGATTTGTTTCTAAATTAGTTTTTAAAAACAATGTGGCAATCACTGTAAATATTGGCTAGAGGCAACTTTTGCTTATACTTCATCTGAATAGAAACCATCTATCCCTAGCCATCAATACATGATTGGTGCTGGGAGAGGCATCCATTCTCAATTAATTATTTAATAGTCACTTGACACACATGAAATAGAGAAAATACACAAAATGGAGCCAATCCTTCTGGGCAGATCAACTCTGCCTTTATCATTCCATTTCCCATTTCTGTGATAATCAAAAGAATCCAGCCTTCTGTTTTCCTTTCATGACTAGTGGTGATCTTTGCACTCTGTTTCCAGATCAAATTTTCAAAACGAATCATGCTCCAGAACCATCCTAATGGATTTTTCTTTTCTGACTTGAATTACCTTATATACCAGGTACTAGCCTGTTCAGTTATATATCTTTGTAATTCTAAATTCTTCCTCTTATAGAAAGACTTATCCACTGGCAAAATAAAATGCATTTCAGAAACATCTAATTCTGCTTCTCTTCAACACATTACTTTTGCCATGCTTTCTCCACTCTTAAGTGTTCCTGATTATGCACGATCCCTGATTCCCTACATTTAAAATGCACAAAAAAAAAAATAAAAATTTTAATTTAAAACACCCTCCCACACAGAACAAGCTGTCATTGTGTCATATTTGTTTCCTAATTTAAGGAAGTTATATCTCATGTATCCTTCATTAAACTGCCTGCTCTGTATTTTAAAGTGGCATTAGGCTACTTAGAACAATATTTCCATTAAGTAATGTTCATTTTTCAAAATTTATTTCGATTAATCAGTGCTGACGTATGGAGCTTCAAATTATAATAGAGCAAATCACCATATGTAGCCATTTCATTCAAGATTTACAATTAAATGAGATTTGGGAGAGGAAAAATATGTACTGTTCCATTTTTGTAACAAATAAAATTAGGCTTAATTTTGTAAAACCTAACTATAAAGCCTGGTGCTAAATCCATGGAAATTTACTGGCCAAATTGAAGTGCAGTATAGGCCATGAGATACATAGCCTTCTACAATTACTCAGCCAAAATCCAATGAAAAAAACAAAAAAACCTTCATGAAGGCAGAGAATATTAATCCTTTATTTTTTTTCCCCTTAAATCCATGAAGGCTACAGAAATCCTCTTTTTCTAATGACCAGCTTTTTTTCTTTCTAGCTAACTCCCTTTAAACAATTACAAATTTTATCAAGTCTTCATTTCTCTTAAAGTCAGATGAGAGAGAACTGCCAAGTCTAATAGGATTTACAAGAGCTAGTTCCTATTAGCAGCGTCAGCAAACAAACAAAAAAAAAAAAAAAAACACCAAAACAGACATTACACAATAAACTACAGCCACACATAGAGCTTTTGTCCTTACAGCTAAATCATATTTAATAATCTTTTTAAAACAACTTCAGCCATACATGTCATTTATCCATGTGTTGACTGTCTTGACTTGACCCATAAGCTATCTACTTTAAACTCTGACATCTCTCCTGCTCAGCCACAAATAAATCCATATTTTATCTTTTTCATATCAGTCACTTTCTTTTCATGGTTTTTTTGGTATTTATACAATATCCCTCCTTGGCCATTCTCATGTAGCAACATTGGAGACACATTAATGACTGAATTTTATTTATCAAAGGGAGAAAAAAACTTAAGTATGTTTGTGTGTGTGTTTCAATTCCCAAAAACAACAGAAATTACAGCTTAGCCTCAGATAAATATCATTAGCTAAATATACTCAGGAAATCTCTTGCAATCCTTCATATGCATCTCCTGTTTATTAGCCTCCCAGTCCAACAACATCTAAATTGCTGTGCTATTTATCTTCCCAAGGCATCTGCTAATTGAGAAATATGTTATTTAATCTCTAACATTTCTAAATATTAGCTGACCTGTCTCCCACTTCAAGAAACCACAGAAATCACATAATTTTTGCTAAACTGACAAATGTTGGACGTGGATATAACCGCAGACACTGATGTTAATTCCAAGAACCCTCCTCCTTCTAATCAAAACAATTTTCACATGTGTCCCCTCCCACTGCCTCATTTTTCCACAACCAGGAGCAGGACTTTACACTTTACTTATAAAAGGCAAAGCTAGTTCCTATAAATCCTGTTCCCCTGTCCTTTTCCATGAATAACAAACGTGGAGATTTCAACCATAGTGAACCTCTCCTGCAGTTCATTCTTCACCAAAAGTGTATCCAACCAATCTTCTAGATGCTTGTCTGCATCTTACGGGGAACATCTACGTATTACAGACTTAGAGGTGGTAGAGGAAAGCACAGCGGTTATTCAGGGAGACCATGGCCCGCTGAAGATAGGGAGCAGCCTAACAACCCAAGGCATCTGAAGAGGAGAGGTCATTCTACTTGCAACTTGGAAGGAGGCGGGGCTGGCACAAAGGGTCCCCTAGAGGAATCTGAATCTGGAAATGGGCTGCTCAACCATTAAGAGGATGCCAAAGGAGGAGCTGGGGGTGGGGGAGGGGGGAGGTGATAAGGCAGAGAGGCCACAAACACGTATTCACCTTGAAACTAGCTGAAACACACCGTCCAGAGAAGGAAGACCCCATGCACCAGCCGGCCCCGCCTGCCTCGCCCTGCCTCCCCGCGCCCTGCCCAGGCCGAGCCCCCCCTCGCTGGGTCAGGCGTCGGGCCTTACCTTGGCTGCAGTCTTTGCCGCGGAAGCCGGTTCTCGAACAGTCGCACACCGCCTGGTCGTCAACCACCGAGCACACGCCTCCATTGAGGCACACCCCGCCCTCGCCCTCCTCGCCCGCCTCGCACGGGCTTCCCCCGCCACTGTTGGGCGGCTCGTCGTCCAACTTCACGTCGCCGCTGTCCACCGGCTGCGCCTGGGAGGAGTTGACCCTCACGTCGCGGATCCACCCCTTAAAGGGCTCTCGCTCCCGCACGGAGGCCAGCGTCAGCTTGAGCGCCGCGGCGCGCAGTTCCGGGGGCAGGCCTCCGACGAAGAGGCCGCTGAACACCGTCATGTCCCTGCGCTTCGACTTGACCTCCACCCACTTGGCCTCCACCTGGTCGATGAAGAGCGTGGTGTTGCGGAACTGGCGGCGGATGCGCACGTGGTGCCACGCGCCGTCGTTGACCGGCGTGTCAGCCAGGAGGGTGGCGGGCTCCGCGCAGAAGATGGAGAAGCTGAGCTGCAGGCGGCCGCCGCGCGTCAGGATGAGCTCCAGGAAGTCGCAGAAGCCCTCGTCGTCGAAGTAGAGCACTAGGCCGCGGGCGCTGCGAGTCTTGAGCTGGAAGCTCATCTCGCTCTCGCAGCAGGCGTTCCACTTGGGGAAGCGCGTCCACTGGCCCTCGGCGCCCGGGAACTCGAGCCCGCTGCCCAGCTCTGCCCAGCAGCCCAGGAGCAGCAGCGAGAGGCACAGGAGAAAGCAGCCCCCGCGCTGGAGAAGCGCCGTCCCCATGCTCGGGGCTGGGGTGCGGCGGGGGGGTGCCGGGGCCGACAGGGTCAAAATGGTCCTGGACACCGTAACGTAGAAATAAGGGTCTGGAAACGAGGAGGGTAAAGGGATGGGCAGGAGTCGGAGGGTTGTGCCCTCCTTTATCTAGCTCTTTTTTTCTTCTTCTTCTTCCAGCAACCCCTCCCTCTCTCCCTGTAGTCCCCTCTCAACTGGAAAATGTAGACCCCAGTGGTGCAGGGCAGCAGCAGATCTTCCGATCCAAAGGGAGGATACACTTTGGAAGCAACGTTCTGGAAACGGCGTTAACAGAAGGTCAGGGAAGTCACTTATCCATTTGAGTCCGATGACCTAGTTCAAGGGCATCAGTGGTGTCAACAGATGCTTCACTCCTGGAATACTATCATCTGCGAGGTACTATCAGTGGTACTGGGCAAAAGGGAAACAGAGCAAATACTTCTCAGAGAAGCACAAGAAGTCTGCAATAAGCCAGGATCCTTGGATACTTGTGAATGCCTCTAGTGTTTGTCGTCCAGGTGTGATGTCCCAAACCAGAAGGGAGAAAAGGGTTCCTTGCCTCTTTAGGGCACCACTTAACCCCTGAGTGGCTTCAAAGGCCTGCTTCTTCTGTCATTATGGACTTCCAGCACCACAGTAGCCAGTGCAGAATTCCCTGTGCATGGACTCACAGCCTGGATTTTACTTCTCTTTTCCCCTCCCCAACAGTAGGGTTCAAACCCTGAAGCTGTGGAATAGCCAGAAGCTGTTAGAGGTCACAACAGCTCCTCTTCTTGTCTCTCTGCCTCTGCAAGGCCAACTTAAGATGCCAGCATATCAATTGGTTGTATGTTGGTGATGCATTTTGGTTTTGTCTTTTTATAAGGACCCAGAAAATCTGCAGAGAATTAAAATAAAAATTAAGTTCTAAAGTCATGTATAGTATCATATAAATCATCATTCAGTTCAGAAACCAGGTATATAACTAAAGCCATTAGGAAGCCAGAGTTAACCTTATTGGAAGGGGTTTTTTAGTCCTGATCTACAAGGAAGACCTGGTGTCTCCTAATAGTTAATATTGCACTTTTACAATCAGCCATTACACCCTTGTAGTTTATTATAACTATTAGTAGGTTACCTTCTTAGGCTATTACACAGATTTGTTTATGGTTATCTTTTACTTTTTCTGAGAAAGTTTTTTTTTTTTTAAATATAAGAAGGGGTGCAAAAGAGGCCCCTTTAAGGACTTCTGCTTAAAATATGTACTGATAACATGAACAATAAAAATACATCCTATTCAAATCTCAGTTAATACAGATTTTATAACAGGCAAAACAGATGAAACAGCGACTGGAAGCTGTTGGCTTGAATTTGTATAACATTGCTACCATTTTATGTTTTTCAGAGAAAGAATATTGATGGTTTCTTGGGAGTGTCTTTTAAATTTCAGACAAGTATTTTCCTTTTATTAAAAGAATAATCTGTTCTAGGAGAACACATATAACTGGAGTTATGTCTATTTTGGGCATCATTTGTGTCTCAATTGCCATAACATTAACTCCTCTAAAGATGGGTAAAGTATTTAATATTTTGCCAAACAGTGTAATGATCCTCACTCCTCTTCGAGTCCTTATCTGGCTGTTAGAATCTGTGTGGTCAGAACAGCACTTGGCATGTGTGTCACCTTAGCTGCTATGGCTCCAGGATGCTAGAATAATGAAATCATACCTTTGAATCACTCACTATAAAATCACCTCTTCATTCAACCCTAATCTGACAGTTTACTGAAATGGTGCAGAAATCTTAAGTAGTGAGTTGTCCTTTTTTTTTTTCCCCCGAAAAGAATAGTACTCTCTCATTTTGACAAAAAAAAAAAAAAAGAAGAAGAAGAAGAAAGAAAAGAAAAATAGAAAACAAGAAAATTGCAAATGGTTCATCTGGTCATGTCAAGCAAACACATGTATTTCCCTCAACATTTCCCACTATTACCACCCCACCCCCTACACACACACACACACACATGCACAGGCACACGCACACACATTTATTGCCTGGACACAGAAGCTCACTATCCAATTAACACTTTTTTCCCCTACAAGCTGAAACTAGCAGTAATTTATGGCACCGCATTGTGCTGCTGCTCCTCCATGGAGGGAGCTGAGAGCATTTCTCTTCAGTACAGAGCAGTCCCTACAGGTGTCAGCTGAGAGCCACCAAGCTAGGGGATCCCACTTCAAGTTCCTCCCCAGGTTAAATTGATGACTGGTTCTCTCTTTTTCAACACACACACACAACACAGCACATATACACACATACATATGGGCCAATATAAAAGAAATCGTCTCCGTCGCTTATTTATTATGGCTGATACATTCCACACCATCAGCAATCACCAGCCATATCTTGTCTACTCCTGTGCCAAGCCCAAAGAAAGGTGCTCTTAAAAATCATCCTAAGATAGCATGGCATTCAATATACTCTCATTTTTAATTGGACTCAGGCATCTGCCAATTTTTCAGTCATTTGCAAAATAAATCTGGAATTTCAAGATCAAGAGTAGTGCTTTGAAACCATCCAAAAGCTTATGTGTTAGAAAACCTTTGTGTGTGTGTGTGTATGTGTGTGTGTGTGTGTGTGTGTGTGTGTGTGAGAGAGAGAGAGAGAGAGAGAGAGAGAGAGAGAGAGACTGGATTGTAGCCGATTATTTTATTAATTAATATTACATAGATCACAAAACCTTTATTCACTCTTTTCTCCTTCTCTCCTCCACTAATGCATACCTGGACAATTTTTTAAGGAATGGTGGAGACGGGGGAAACACATATATATTCTTACCACAGGGAGGTCAACTGACTCTCCCAGTTCTTAGAGGAAGCTCATTGTGTGTGAGAGTATCTGTATTTATATGGAGAAAGAGGATTCTCTCTAGGTGCCGGAAAAACCTGGTGAGTTCACAAATTAGAGGATGAAATAAAAGGATCTGAAAAACAACCTTACTGCAGCCAAAGGAAGAAGCGCTCTAATTCAAAAGCAGACTAACAGCCTCATTAATCTTTTCTTTCATTTCTAGAATCAAATTCATTCCCAAGCCACTGGAAGGATCGATACAGTATGCTCGTCCGCTGCAGTTGCATTTATTTTAATATGTTTATAAAACACACACAAACATATGCACACATAGCTTTCCATGCATCCTTCAATATGTATACCATCACCAAGAACCTGAAATCTTTGGGATAATTTTTAGAAGTGCCTTTTCCCCCCTTGCTTTTGCAAAGTCCCTTAATACCAATGCACACCCAAATTCTCCCTGGCTTTCCCGCCCAGTCTCTAAGCTCCATCTCTAATACCAGTGCAGTTTCTTGGAGCCTGGAGTCAACTGCACAAATTAAGGATAGGCACAGCATGGGGCTGATGGGGAAGGGAAATAAAGATGTAGATACAGATATATTTTATTGCTTTGGTTTCTAACTTGTCTGTTTTCTTTCTCTTGCTAATAAATCACTGCATTCAGCCTTTAAGTTACTATCCCAGTTCCACCATCTCATCTTCTTGGCATCTATTTAAAAAGCTGCATGCAAAACAACGAAGATCTATACTCCTCCACCCTCCCACCACCCATCCTTCCTTGTGCATTTGTGGCAGATCCTGGCTCAGTTACAAGGGGGAAATATATCCCTCTCCAGCTTGCCTCGCCCCATCCCCTCCCCCAACCCAAATTGAGCTTCTTTACCTGCCCGGTTATTCCCCTTAGCTCGACCCAGAGCCTGAAGCTTGTATCGGTTCAAAGCGAATTTCCTGAGGTCTGTGGATAAGGCGACTGCCGCTGCCTTTTCAGAGGCGTCAGGCTTGAGCGTCTCTCTCCAGGAGTGCGGGAGGGGAGAACAGGCAACGGAGGGGAGCGGGAGGAGGAGGAAGAGAGGGAAAGAGCTGGGAAGGAGGCGGCGGCGGCGGAGCCTGAGAAGGCTGGGTTACGTGACGCCGGGTGCTGTCCTTCTGAAAGAGAAGGGCGGAGCTGAGCTCTCCGCAGTACCATGGAGAGCGGCGGGCCGTCCTCAGGCGGAGATCCTGGTGGGCTCGGCCCGCGGTCACAGCCCTTCCAGGTCGGGATGCTGCGGAGCGAGGCGTTTATACCTTCGCTTCGTCCCTTTGCAGGGGAAGCCCGATCCTGAAGGCGGGGACCTGCCGCAAGAGCTTCTAACTTGTCACCACCCACCCTACCCCGAGAGAGAGAGAGAGGGAGAGAAACCAGAGAACCACGTAGCCTACTGAGCATGCCCAGGCCCCTGCTAGACCCACGGAAACCTGTGTGGAGATTCCACTTCTCCGGGGTTTAGTCGTGATTGGGCGAGGGTACCTGAAAGGGGGCCAGAGAAGAGCTGGGCAGCTAAAAGAAAGGGGGCAAGTAGTTAGTGATTAAGATGAGCTCAGGGTTGACTTGCGCACTTTGGGCTCCTGTTTGGAACCCTTGAAAAGCTGCAGCTCTTCGAGGAATGCAGGGACAGGCAAGACTCACACAGTCGCTGGCACATCCCCCAGATCCAACGTCCCTGCCCCACCCCTTACCGTGGCCCTAACCTGAGCGATCTTTCAAACCTTCACTACCTGCCTAGCAATTGTGCCAGAAAGACCTACCCGGCTAATGCGCCAACTTGTAGACCAGACTCAAGTCTGTCTGACAAGGTGCTTTCTGCGACAGCCTCTTGTCATATCCCAGCTTTCCGTGCTCTGCCTTGGCCACGGGCATTCTGAGCCGAACCAAGTTCTGTACCTGTTTAACTCTTCTATCAGTCTCCTCCTGTCTTTTGCAGCTGGTAAAACCTGGAGAAAGTAAAACTCCGTGCGAGGCTCTAACCATAGCTTTGGGCATGCCCAGTAGGCATTGCTGGGTTTGGTGACAAAGGAGTTAACTCTCAGAGAGCTTGCAGAATAGGTGGTAGAGAAGTCCAAAATGTGTGGCTTTAAATTACAGTTTGAGTGCTATGGGCATTTGAATTCCTAACCCTATT